AAAAAATGTGCTTAAGCAATCAGAAAAAACTGTAATACATGAAGTTAGGGTTGAAGCTACGGTTGGAGGTCATGACCAACTCATAGGATTGAATTGTTTGTTTTTTCTTAATTAAACCAAAATAAAACTTTATACCCGTTCCAAACCCACAGTGATGGCATATTGACCATATTATAATCATACAACAAGTCAAGTATTTATGTGACTACATTTAAAGCGAGGTTTTCCTTGAGACCACAACAGCTAATTGTGTCACACCATGGTCCATTTTATTATGAACATTTTAAATGGGGCAAGGACGCTGATTTCAGTCTTATTGCTTTAAGAGACTGCTGATTTCTCTCAGCAGCAGGTTATGGGTTTAAAGAGGCACCTCGAATTGCCAGATCCAGGGCAGTCTCCTTCCCAATTCCTGTGTTGGCTCCAGTGATGAGGACCGTCTTCCCATCAAGACGAGTTGTGGACTTGCACACTTCTCCTGCTGCATATTTTCTGCACATACACACACAAACAAGGCTGATTTATACCACACAAATTCTGCATCATCAAATGCAGCAGACAGCTCCATTTAAATGACTAGCAGCTCCTTCTGCAGTCTCTAAATGCTATGCCCCCGTTAAAGCTGGCATTGTGGTGAAACCGGGTTACTTATTCACACAAAAACTTGCATAGTGAAGTGTGCAAGTGGTGCGAAACACACGCCAGTGAGCAGGGCCGCCACATAACCAATAGCTCTCTTGGAGTGTTGTATGCATATATAACTCCTCCCACGCTCCGGCTGCTGATAGGCCCGAGCAGCTCAGACGGAAGACACCCGGTTCATCTGTGCTAGAAAAAAAAACACCCTCCCACAGCTCAATTTTTCTATTTCATTGATCAGCAGCTTCGTGTGAAATCACCGTTAACGTAAAGCATTCACAATTAACGATCATGTGGCTTCATTAATCAAACTGATCCTCATCGTAATAACTACACCACACCACCTAAATGTCTTGTTAACCAAGTAATAACCTGCCCTGACATCCAGTGTTAAACTCTGCGTTTAAATTCTAATTACTGAGCGCGTGAAGTGGGCGCTTACCTTATTTGTGGCGCAAATAAAATCACCAGCAGCGTCACCACTCCGAGGCCCGCGATAATTAATAAAAGGAACATCATGCTATGGATCTTCGCTCCTCTGCCTCTTCCAGCAGGATGCTACCGAAGTGTAGGCGGAACAGCTGATGTCAAAGCAGGAATGGGGGTGCGAGCTGCAAACGGATGGGGTGAAGGTTGAACCACGCGCGGGATCATGGGATTGTAGTTCGATGCGTGACAAGATGGCTACTGGAGACGATACGTAACAGGGTTCACTGAGTTTGCAGCTGGGGGCAGTGATTTTAAAGTGAAATGTCATAAAAATAAATTAAGCTAATTTAGTTAATAAATTATTAACAACAAAAAGACAAAGACGGAGTCACTTTTTTCAATCATTTTTTTGTTAAATGTAATTCATCTGCCCCCTCTTAAAGAAAGAAACAATTTAATGATTTTTTTTTTAGCCATTTGATAGCAGTAAAAATCCCCTAAATGTCATTTTAAGCCGGAAACTTAATTCATTTTGCTAAAATAAAGAAAAATCGAGGCTGCTGTGGGTCAAATTAATAATAATGGATTGGATTTAAATAGCGCTTTTCAAGGCACCCAAAGCGCTTTACAATACCATTCACTCTCACATTCACACACTGGTGGAGGCCACAGATACTGGGGCAGACTGACAGAAGCGAGGCTGCCATATCGTGCCATCGGCCCAACACCAGTAGGCGGTAGGGTAACGTACCTTGTCCAAGGACACAACGACGAGGACAGAACCCCCTGAGCCACAGTGGCCCGATTAGACCCTCATCTATTCAAATTGATTTTAGCTGCACCACCAAGGAAAATTGTGGTTTTATGTAACTGTAGATGCCATCTTTGTGTATTTTTTTTTGTGGGAAAGTGGTGATGGACTTCAAAGGGGACAGTTCTCGCACATTGTTGCAAGAACTGTCTATTTTTCTGCAGAGACAGCGATCTGCTGGTCTTTTAAACAATTAAATAGTAAAAATGAAAGTGATCAAAGCGAATGCACCAAGGTAATATAAGATAAGTTAGGATAAGAGATAAAATAACTTTTTATTGTCATTGCACAGTCATACCTAGTGCAATAGTACAAGGAATTTGGAAACTGTCCCACCTCGATACTAAACACAACAAAACACAGGTCAAGGTCAAGTTTGTTTATATAATGAACCTCTGAAGTGCCTTTTTGTGTGCCATGGTGCAGTTGAAGAACCATACAGAAATACAGTATGTCAGTATTCTACAGTATTCTACTGTTGCTACACTTTCAGTGTAGCAACAGTAGAAGACAATCAGCAGTTCCCCCTTCAGGTCCAATTTTCTGAGGATTCTTAGAAAATGGACACACGGTTGGGCTTTCTTTTCAACCGCCGAGGTTTTTGAGCTTCATTGGGAGTCTGTGTCTATGTGCACGCCTAGGAACTTGAAACTGTGTGTTTTAAAGGTATCCTGGCCTCCTCCTAAAGAATTGGGTTTCATGTTAACAAGTGATTCTAAACTGGCTATGTGAGATACCACTTGAAGTGTGTAGTGTTATTCTTACCTAACTGAGATTAAAACGCAAATCAACACAGGGGTTGGTGGGGTCATAAGACTGTAAAGGCACCTAGGCTGCCATTTCAGCAAATGTGGGGAACACCTGTTCTGTGGTCATTCTTTTTCCTCCTGCCTCGCAGACCTCGCAGGACTGTCTCCAAACCATTCCCCATAGCGGGTGCCTCTACCATCTTGTAAACCTTTATGAGGATGTTTTTATGACATAGTAGTGAGGGCAGTGTTAAACAGTTGTATTTGTTATACATGAATATATATAATAAATCCCGAAGGTTCATAATGTGCCATTTTAACTTTTCAATAAGATACATTTTAATAAATAAATAATACTCCCCCTGTTCTCTGAAACATTAACCAATGATTAATCACCCATTTATTTAGCTAGACAGGCTATTTATACATTCAAAATAGATCTATACTTTAAAATTTGCTATAGACGCTTACTATGAGGAAATTCCTCCAGTTTCAACGAGGGGAACTCTGAATCCATGTAATTTCATTAACAGAATAAACACAAACATTTCCCAAGTAGCTCGGTTTAAAAACTACATTTCCCAGAAAGCCCTATTAACGTTGTCTCTGTAGCGCCGGAATGAAATAATCATTAAATAATTATTCAGGTGATTTTAATACACGCTTTTCACAACATTTCGCTATTTTGTTTTAAATTCCTACATAATTGTGGTTTTTTTAAAAAAATATTTTTTCAATTTCATATCTAGTAAAAATAATTACATTTTAGTACGTTTGTGTTTTGTTCCGGAGTTACGACGGTCGGTCGAAAGCCATCCGGAAGAATCTCGAGGATCTGATTATCGTCCTAGCAAAACTACATACCTAAACTTGTGATCAAAAGTGTTGTATTTTACAATAAAAGACAAAAATAATTTCACAAGAAAGGACATTTAAACGACACGCAAAATGTCGTCGGAGGAATTCGAGAAGTTGCACGAAATGTACCGATCGTTGTACGAGGAGCTGAAGCTGATGCCAGATAAGGCTCAGAAATCTCACGGAGGTAAATACTTGCTCATAAAGCCGAGATCAAAAATAACTACGCCTTAGAATATAAGTTATGAGCTTTTTAAGTAACACCTGTACTGTCACTCCTGCAGAGGAGAGGAAGAGGCTGGTGAGGACTTTCGATGAGAGACATGGGGAGGCTGAAGAAGTGGTGAGCTGTTTATCTTTTTCCCCAGCTAGCTAAAGTTCACTTGACTACTAGCTATGTCTTTTTCATGTAAATACACTTTTTTTTCTTAAATTGAGGTTGAAATGAACTTTTAAAGAAATCTACCACCAGAGAAATAGTGAATTATCAAAAATAATACACGTGTTTGTTGTGCAAATAACACTTGTTTAATACAAAATCGAAACCTAGTCTACATTTTACCCCCCAAAAGGCATTTTTCGCTTGTCCAGTCTTTTTGGTAACCACAGTGCATTTCAAGTAAAACAGTGAAGTTAAAAAAACCCAACTTTTGTTCTTTTCATTTTGTTGACACAAACCTTTTATAATTGTTATTCCATCTTTTAACATCAACATATTTTAAGTAGTTATTTAAGAATTATGCACTGCAAATTATGTCCCACAACATATGTGCAATTCTGTTACCAACACCTGTTTAACCTGGAAAAGGACGAGACAATGAGTGACATGACAATGATGCGGTTTCATGATTGAGTCTTGTGCTAGCACCAGCGTTGGATATTTACTTATACATATTTTGTTTTTTTCCTCCAAGATTCTGACCTTGTTACTTATATTATTAAAATCCGAGGGGTGTTTCTAATATGTTGGCCATCAAGTGTATAAGAATAAAACCGAAATAGAAGAACCTCTAATTAAATTTAGTTTACAGCTCTCTTTAGTATTCTAAGTATGCCCCATTTTTAACTGTGCATGAATTCAGATGGCACTGAAATGTTCTGGCTTACGAAGGTTAAGCCTAAACTAGTAAATAAATTGATAATATATACTTGTTTCTATAGAGTAAGATCCTTATTTGTCTTTTTCTCAAACAATAACATTTTCTTGTCTTTCTCCAGTTACAAGGAATGGAAGAGGAGCTGCGCGTTGCCCCTCCGTCCTATCGAAATTCAATGAGCACAAAATTACGTATTTACCGGCGAGACCTCGGCAAGCTTCAGAGGGACATGAAAAACTCAGCACCTGGCTTTGGCTCCTCGTACAACACAGTGCCAGGAAATCATGGCATCTACTCTTCACAAAATCAGCACAGTGTGAGTCAGGGGCTTTGGGGTGCTTGGGTTTGCTGTTACAGACGCTTATGACGCTGCTGTTATGTCAAACTGCATTTGTGGGGTAAGATTTTTCTGGGTGTGTGTTTTTTTTCTTCCTCTTTTTGCTGAAGAATATCAATGCGCTGTAACATAAGAAAAAATGCAAATAGGAGACGCACAAATCAAGAAAACATCTTCATCAATTTGAAACGAAATCCTCTGAACTTATTAGGGCTTATTTTTCAGCAGCACTTACAGATCCAGACTGTATTAGACTGAGAAAAATGTCAACCCTGGTTCCTAGTGATCCTCGTGGATATTATATAACCATGCATTGGAATTGTAGAAGTTGTCATGATAACAAAATGTCTATGTAAGTGTATTTCCAGAATAAATCTGCTTAAACTTGGTTTCATTTGTCACTGTTCCTTGTCTTTGCAGACACACCTGCAGTCCCAGAGAGCGTTGCTTCTTCAAGGTACAGATGCTCTAAATAACGCCAGCCAGAGTATTGAGCGCAGCCAGCGCATCGCTGCTGAGACGGAGCAAATTGGCACAGATATCATCGAGGAGTTGGGAGAACAGAGGGAACAGCTGGATCGAACCAGAAACAGAGTGAGCTGAGAATCATTATTACGCTTGTATTCTTGTACTGTGCTGTGCAAAAGTCTTTAGCCACCTGTGATGTCTATATGTCACTAACCTATGAATCATTTAAGCTTAAAAAGGCACCTAAATCAAATGATGAACCAGTATTGATGTGTCTACACGTGACAGACAACTTATCAGAAAAACACATTATTAGTTTCTAATTTTTTAGTTAAATATGGAAAATGCCAAATATAACACAGTTCAACAGGCATAAAATAGTATTTTTGCACTAAAAATGTGATTTTCAAAGAGCTACCAGCTGTCAGCTTGACATATCTCACTATCCTGTGCAGTCCTTAAAAATTTTAACGCAACTTAAACTTTAAATATTAACTTCCAAGCTCATTAGCATTTTAAAAACTCTGTTTTTTCCTTATGTGCTGTATTTTCATGCATGTTTGCACGTTTCAATAAATCGATGCATATATTTCTTTCCTTCCTACCAAACTATAAAGAAACGAATAGTGGCTCAAGACTTTGGCACAGGACTGCATGATGACGATATGATCTGAGATTAGTAGGTTTGTTAAAACTCTTCTGTTTTGTTGTTTTTGTAGCTTGCGAATACTGGAGAGAACCTGAGTCGTAGTAGAAAAATTCTTCGTGCCATGTCAAGGCGGTAAGTGCACCCTACGAGACGTTTTACACCACAGTAGTTCCTTTGTTTGTTTGTTTTTTAATGCAAATTCAATATTTTTTGTGTGCATCTCATGATCCTGATGATTGGGGTCTCTTTTAAATGTTCTTGGAACATTTGAGCACAGTGTAAGCATCTTATTGTTGCTTCTTTTCTGTCTTACAGGCTAGTGACAAACAAGTTGCTACTGGGCATCATCATTTTAATGGAACTGGCCATTCTGGGTGCTGTGATTTACCTGAAGTTTTTCCGAAAATGAGCAGACTTACGTTTAAGTTGTGGATCCAGGGCAAACTTGGACTCTTTCTGTCTCTACTGACTATCCAGTAGCAATAATAACACTGTCCTGCTGTTTTCAGCTATCTGTGTCTGTGATGGCAATGAAGGCCTGAACTCTGACAGGGGATTCTGTCCATTATTTGATGTGAATGGCAATTTGCCAACTTGCTAATGGACCAAACCTACAGAAGCTCTTTGAACTAAGATTTGCACTGTCACTTGATGCCGTTGATGTCCTGCAGGATGATGATCTGGACTTGTCTGCTGGCTGTTACAGATCCCATGGATGATTCTTTGTAGCATCATAGCTGAGTCAGAAAACAAGCTAATTGAGCCCACATGTCTCTCTGGGTGAAACCACTTGTGAAATGTGACTGACAGTTCTAGAAAGCTATAAGTCTCAGATTGGGTTACAAAACTGCTCAAATTCAACTGCTGATGGATGAATATCTTTTACAATATGATGAAAAAGCACCTAACAAAATAATTTCTTTTCTGTGTTTAAGCGGTTGTGTGCTTAAAAAAAGACTTAAGTTTTAAATGAGATATATCAGTAAAATAAATTAATGCAATGTCTTAATACAGTTCATGCAAAATTACTGTACAATTCAAAAATCACTGTTATAAATAGGTTTTTGGTTTCCGATTTGATGTCTTTCGCAACATTAAAGTTGATCTTTAACCTCAGTTTGCATCTGATATTTTTAAGGAAGGAAGCCAAACAGTTAAGAAAGATACTCTGTGGAAGCCCTGATCAGGTAATAAAGGGTAAACAGCACCTGTTACCATAGAGTTTATTCTCAAATAACTGACCATATGGTGATTTCCAGTGGTGTTAAGGGAAACGGTACACCTGCTGCAATGTTTTTCTATTCCATCATGCCCACCTGGTGTGTTCTAGAGTATACAAACAAGTTTGGTGACCTGGTTATGTATGACAGGGTTAGATAAGGAACATTGTAGAAAGAAGGAAATATAATTTTAATGTGTTAAAATATTACCTTTGAATTTCTTCCCATCTTCTTAAGTACAAAGGGAACATTCTAGGGTTTTATAACCTAATTTAAAATAAATCTCTTTCAATAAAAAGCCAGGACACTGTATAAAATACAAATGCAAACAGAATGCAGTGAATTAGTTAAAAAATAATACTCAGATAACCTTTCCATTTTTTTTCCATGCTCACATGTGTCCAACAACGAAACATGCTGCTGGCAAATATTTTCAGCGTGACATGTTTGGATTGCAGGCTGACTGGTTTAGCCCTTTCAAGTAGGTACGGATACATATGTTACTGTCATACATACAGGTTGTGTTTGGGTATGGTCTTGCTGAAATACAAAAGGTCTTACCTGAAAAATACTGTTTTGATTGTTCCTGTGCTATTTTTTAAAGTATAAATATGACTAATATCTTTGGTAAATCCCCAGCTTGGTGGGGAAATGTAATGATTTCTATTTAATCATTCTATTTCACACTGGGACGTGTTGACTGCTCTTCCAGTCCAATGTACACCATAGAAGAGTAACCATGACGTTCATATTTGTGGAGTTTAGTGATATTTCAGCAACTTTTAGGTTAATTAACGTGAAATGTGGTAGGCATTCATGTTCATCCTCAAGGTTATTCTTTGGTTCTTCATTTAGTGCATTCATCAATTAAAGCAATATATTACTCTGATCACAAAATAATGAGGAGATAAGACACATGTAGAAACAAACAAAAAACTTTAATCATATTAAAGGAAGACCAAAATAGAAGCTCTTTGTTACAAGGACAATAACAAGCCATAATTTAGTTCACGCATAATGATACAAATAGTTATTACTTTTTCCAGGGATGCTGAAATAGTGGTGCACAAATCACTATAGTCCATGTATTGATTCACAGTAAAAATAGAAAAGTAAACTCTAAAGAAAATACAGTAACTACAACTATCACAGAAGTGATAGCATACCTCTAGTTTTAACTAACTGGCACAGCCACAAAACAGTCCAAAGTAGACTGTGAACTTCAGTCGTACATACTCGATACTTTTTGTACCGCTGATGCAAGCTAATTCTCTCATAAACCAAACATGATAGATACTTGGCAGCTGTGGCAACGCACACCTAAGATTAACCACCCACCCATCATTTCTTAGCCACTTATTGGAGGTTTGCAGGGCGCTATCAGAGATAGCCAGACAAGTTATTACACATAATAATAATAATAATAAAATAAGTTAGTATTGCTGTATCCCCAATAGCTGTATTGGTGTCTAAATTCTGTCAAAGACTTTTCTCAGCATTATCAATATGAAGAAAGATTATGCAAAGCCCTTTCGTAGTTTCATGAATCCCGACATAATTTAGCTTTCAAAGTGAAAGACCAAGCAGCAAAAAAATAGAAAAAAAAAAAGCTTTAAACTGTCACCTTTCAAATAGATATAGTCTTTGCAGTCTTGTATTTAAATCTGTGGAATGGTCAGGGATGACAGTGTTGAAGTCCATAGCTTTGCTTCATGCCCTTAGAGGCGAAGCTCTGTGTCGTTTTTCCCAGAGGGAATTTCGTCCATGGATGTGTGAGCGCCTTCTCTCGTCTGTCCCAATGATGATGCAATGACATCAACTGCTAACGTGGCAGTAGCCTCCACAGCTTCAGGACTTGCCCCAAGGACAGGATTTACTTCTACCATGTCCATGACTGACAGCAGACCTGCACACCAAGAGGATGACAAGTTAGATTCGAAAGACAGACAGTCAAAGACCTTTAAGAAATCTAAAAAAGACCAAAGGAAATGAAAGCCATAACTGTAGTGATCTGTACCTGTGTTATGAATCTCCTCTGCGATGTAGATTCCCTCTCTGTAGGTCAGACCTCCATTTACTGGTGTTCCTGTGGCGGGAGCCAGAGACGGGTCGAATGCATCGATGTCAAAGCTCAAGTGTATTGGTCGTTGTTTTCTGTCAGGATGGTAATAAAATTCAACATCTCCGTTCAAACATCTATAACTGTTTTTTGTATAAATTAAAAATTGAAAAACTAAGAACATTTTTAGTGTTATCATTTTAAAATCTATTATAATCACAATCTATTAATAATAATACCTTGCCAGAAGATGGTCAAAAGTGACTTCCATGACCCTTTGGATGCCTAGTCTGTCGATATCTCTCATGGTGAAATACTGGATACCGAAGCTCTTGAGGAATTGGCTGCAATGCACAATTTTAAAATACATCAAGACCTATGTTTCAGAGTGCACCCCAGTTTCGTTTACTAAAACGTTTTAATTGTAAGTACTTACTACTCCCCAGGGTCAACATCCCGCAGTCCAATGTACACCAGGTCTCTTGAGCTGAGAAATGGCTTAGTCCAGGAGAACCCAGGGATATCTGGCATCTGGTGAGTGAAAAGAGGTTGTTTAATATGTCATACAGGATACTAAAAAAGCAATAATACTTTTTTTTAAATTAACAGAATCCCTTTTGTAAGTAGTTTTTTAATATAACTTTAGTGAAGCTGAATGTTTTTCCTCACCTTGTCTTGCAGCTCTTTGAGCATGAATGACACAGGTTGGCCATGGAGGTTTCCTGAAGGGGAGGTCATAGGGGTATTGATATCTGCATGAGCATCAACCCAGATAAGGCACAGGTCAGGACTATGCTGGGCATGGCCGCTCACTGATCCAATAGCAAGGCTATAACAGATGTAGAGCAGCTTTAAAGATATCTGTGCAATGGATTCATAATATTAATACAAACACTGGACTTGTTGTACAGAGTAGGCTATCTTGTAGTATTGCCAATATTTTCTGTTCCTACCTGTGATCACCTCCCAGCATAAGAAGAGTGTGGCCAGCACTGACAGCATTCCTCACTGCTGCAGACAGCTTTTTATTTGCTGCACCCACAGTCCGAGGGAACTTTACATCCATGTAGGGCTCATCCTCCTCCAGGTGTTGGAAGTTCAGATCCCCAAAGTCATGGACAGAAAAGTCTAAAAACACAACAACAAACATCCATACATTTAAACTACTTTGCGCTGTGTCACACTTGCTGCAGTTTACAATGACGCATTGAATGGGAGTGCACTATTTTCTCAGGAAATCTGAACAAAGGAACTGGTAACCTGATGGTTTCAAACAGCCTGAGGATTTGTAATTAGCAGACGTGGTATGTGCAGGTGTCAGTTAAGCAGCCTACATAATCCGTAGCTCCCGTGACTTAACATGCGTTTGTCTGACCTTGCACTCTCGTGGGTTTGAGTCATTCAATGCCAGTGGAACTAGTGACGGAGCACTTTCCGTTAGTCTTGTTTCCCACATCGGGTCAGGTTTCAGTGACTGTAGTTTGCCTTATACTACGTGGTTGCAGAAGATTTAAAAGTTTAGATATAGACTGCGAAGTAAACAAGTGAAGTGTTTCACCATATTAGGGTTCATCCAGCAATATGAGCCTTGATGGTAGTGTAGTATTACTCTGCTGATCCAAGGGTGACCAATGCGGTTCATGACCATTCGTAGACAGGACAGGAATAGCCCTTGTTTGATGCAACAGTGAGCATCTCTTCCAAGACAATTCATAAGTTTGTCAAAGGGATGAGCTTTTAAATTTTAAATGCAAGATTACTAGTGCTATAATTCATATGTAAAGGCATGTTAAATGTTTGTAAATGCCAGTGATTATTGGTTTGATTATATCTATATATTTTTAATTTAAACAATTTGTACAAATTGACAGGAAACCTAGAGAGTGTGAAGATGTAAGAGTACATGGCAGCTACTTCTCTTAGTGTTTGGTTTCATGTGTCCTCCACTGTTAGTGACATAGCAGCTAGATCTTATTTCATTGCTGCCAATTTGGCCACCAGGGAATTGATTCCTGGCCAACATTTTACATTAGATTACATATATTCAGGTTTTATTTTACTTTTTATAAACCACCTTGTGATAAACATCAAGGTTGTTACTATAAAAACTTACTATAAAACTTACAACAGTCTCTTTGAGATTCAGCAACAAAAGAACAAACTGATGAGTGTGTGTATATATATACACTCGTTTGATACAGTTCAAGGTATTTTGGACAATATAATCATATGTAATTGTGCAGATCCACTTAGTGGCCATACAGAAAAATGAAAGTAAGCCAGTGACGCACTGTATAATGTATGTGTAACACAAAGGGAGCGCTCTTCCCTTTGCACAACATGTTTACGACTCATGAGCTGATGTGTGGAACAGAACAAACTGGATTACCTGGGTAGTTAGGTAAGGGAAGTTAGGAAGTTACTACCTAAAGGCGTGCATTAAGCTGCCATTGTCACACACCTTCATTGGTTTTTCTGTTATATTTATAGAGGCAGGAGCAGTTTGTGGTGCAAATGGGGATTCTGGTGAGCTAAGAAGTATCACGACAGCAGATTTCCATTTCATTTTACTTTTTGGGCGAAATTTCAAGATATTACTTTGGACACTTTCAGTATATTTATTAAGCATAAAACAGATTAATTTGAACTACCTTTACTACAATAATTAATGGAGGCCATCATGATTTACATTGTGTTTGTTCCATGCACAATATTAATCTACATTAACCTTATCACTCCAAAGGTACTTAACTATGTCTGGATCACAGATAGAATTTAAGTACCCTGGGATAGCTGTGATCTTATCATGGCCTGTTAAGAACTGGCAGGCCCTCCTCTCTTTACTCATGAATCTTTCCTGTTGGTCATTCCCTCCCCGTTGGAGTGGAATTTCAATTACAATGGCACCTCGCTGACATGCGCACAGAGGGGGTTCTTTTCACCTGCTGTGCCTTTCACGTTAAAGGTACCACTTCTTTTCACACCGGACTGCGTGGGAGTTTTCATTTGGACCACATAAAAAGTAAAAGTGTCTGTCACTGCAGTGACGACATAATGGAAATAACACCGTCATCTTCATCCTGGGCTCTTACGAGCATGTGCCAGAACGGCGGTGGGGGGTTGGGGGCAAGAATGAATGAGCAATTCGTGTAATTTCTCACGAGAAGAGCGAGACGCCGGCGTGCCATGTTGACAGCTATCACAATGCCTTCCTGTATTGTCTCGTCTTTCCGTCCTATGCACGAGTTTGTAGCCATTATACAATAACATTTCGACGAGGATTAACATCAAACATCGGAGAGGATGTTCGAGGTTTCTCTCTTTGACTGCCTTTAATATGGCATTAAACATGCACAAATATACATTCCTATGTTATTACAAGACATTTTATCCTGTAAAACTAATGACGAAAGCCTCAAACTGGACTCGCGCGTAAATCACTTTGTTCTCCGAAACATGTGCGCCAAATCCCTCTCATTGGTTACATATCATTTGTTTATATTTACTTTCTCCCGATTATGTAACAGACTGACTGACGACCGAGCGCTGAAGCTATGTCTTTCTAAAAGTCTGCCGGGTTAAGCTGCAGGTTACACCCACCGACAAGTTACATAACCCAGCACCACCGGCAGCTCCAAGATTATCCGCTCGTTCGACACTTACCAAAATTTGAAAGCCTCTCTATGAGCCCCGCATCCCTGATGACTTTAGGGCCATGCTCCACACCTCTCTTTTTCTGTAGGGAAGGAAACATGGGAGTTGTTAAACTGTTAAAGATGATAGGCTCTTTAAAATTAATGATAACATTTTTTTTAAAAAAAATCCTCAATATCTTACTTGTCCTTTTGAAAACGGAGCGCCAAGCACGGCCACCGAATGAGCTCTGCTTTGCTGGCAAGTATGGTTGAAATGACGGGAAGAGTGGGAAAGACGGTAAAGTGCTCCTCTCAAAGCCATTCTCGGAAATTAAAAGTTGCCCCAGTCACAATGAAACCGACTCGGAGTCTGACGAAAGCTCAGTGAGATGTTGCGCCGGAGGATGCTGAATGTGCAGTTGGTGCAGGAGAGGCGGTCTTTATGACTCGTCAAGCTACTGAATATTTATGAGACTGTGACTCTGACAACAAATACGAAGCGAACTCCTCTTAATTCAGTCATAAAATAAAAAACAAATCTCTGCCGCCTACCATAAAAAGCGTAATTTCTTTTAAGCGTTTGCAATGTGTTATGAGCTTTTATTACCGAGGCACGTCTTGATATATATAAAGCGTCTGACGTCAGGTTGAATGACACACCTTCGTAGTAGCCAATAGCAACTATGGAAGGAAGTGGGTTCGCTTTTAGGCGTGTCCTGCAAACTAATGTGGGCCAACGGGTGTTTTGTGAAATGTTGGGACGCGCTGCTGCAGTGTCATCAAAGTGGAAATTTCCACAGACGCAGCGCAGTGTAATGATCCGCTTGTTTACATTAAACGCTCTTGACCGAGGTGTTTGTCCACGCGTGTTCTAAAGCTCCGGCCAAAACATATCCCACTTGATTTCAGGCCAACATAAAAACATGTTATTATCTGGGTTAGTGTATTATTACGGGGTTTATCTTTCACCACCGCAAGAAATTTAACACTGTAAAGCAATAACAGAATCTCAAGTGCAAGTTATCATAGGCAATTAACTGAAAGTAAAATGGACTTAAACAGAAAAGATTTCTAATAAATATAACGAGCGATTGTTTTATTATTTATGTTTATTTACTTGATGAATTGCAGTTAGTTTATAATTATAATTTTATTTTACAAGTAAAGGAACACAATGCTTCGTGGACTTACTCTGTTTCCTGTCATTAACGTGAAACTGCGGTTTATTACTATTAATTCGTTGTTATAGTCTTGTCAGGCTATGATGAATCCACTATATCTTATCTTTATGTACTCGGATTTTTTTCCAAGCACGATGCACAGCGTTCAGCTGAAATTATTTACATCACAGGCAACACAAAGACAGCTCGGATTCATTAACATGGGCTATTGTGGGTACAAAAAATGGCCTGCATTTGTATAGCGCTTTACTCAGTCCCAAAGCGCTTTACACTACATTCACACACTGGCAATGGCAAGCTACATTGTAGCCACAACTGCCCTGGGGCGCACTGACAGAGGCGAGCCACCGGGCCCTCAGTAGGCAAACATGGGATGTGGGCAAGGATATTTGGCTGGGAGGCAGCCTGGGATCGAACCACCAACCTTCTGATTGGTGGCTGACCTGCTCTGCCACCTGAGCTACAGCCACCCATCTAAACTTCAAGCCTAATTGCAAATCCTAACCCTAATCCACCGAGTGGTTCTAGGCGAATCAAGTGCAAGAGTTTTTCTTTTGAAGTCATCAGCCCACCTCAGATGCATGACTGTGGCATGACTGTGGCATGACTCAGTGAACAAAAATGAACATACTGTACTACGAAACAGAGGTTAATATTAAGGTAACTTAGGGATTAACCCTGTGGTGTCTGTACTATGAAGGAGGTTCACATCTTAACAGGGTATATCACTAAGGTAACTAATGAGCAAGTATGAAATCCCCGCCTACTTCCCAGTCAAGTTTCCAGAAAATTGCCTCACCATTCTTGGTTCCACACACAGATGTGTGTGGAAAGACTAATAAATTTTCACTAGCGTCTAATTTTTGTGCGTCCAAGATAACTTGATCCTATGATCCTAAAGCATATATTTGTACTTGCAGACCGTAGGGTACATAAAATTTGGACGCAGACACTCAGGCTAGAGCTGGGGTAATATAAACTAAACTGTCATTTAATAAAATACTCAATTGTGAACCATTAGATTCTCTTGTGGTAATATCGCTGTCTGTTAACTCAAATAGATGGACAGCTTTCTTAACGGGCTTTAAACAAGCTCAATTTTATTAATACGGTAGCTCTTTCAGGTCTTGTTGACCAAAGCGCATTCAGATAGTACAGGGTGGGCCATTTATATGGATACACCGTAATAA